CACACACACACACACACAGAGGATATTGTGTTCAGGTACAAACTGAGTCAGTTTCAGTCTCTGACCACAATCAGGAGAATGAAGTCGTAGCGTGAACGGATCTTGAATTCACGCTGTTGTTCTTGGTTGTTTTTCTCTCTGACCCAAATATTCTCCTCACCTCCCTCTCTTCGTTTCTCTGTCTCACCTCCCCCTCTGTGTGTTCTCCTGCGTCCACCACTCTGCCATTTTATCTGTTTCCCCTCCCTGCTCTCCTCCTTCATCTCTTCTCACCTCTTCCTCATCGCTTCTCTTCTGTCTGTTTTCCATTTGCCTTTATTTCTACTCTCCTTTTTTTCTCCCTCGTCCTCGTGTTGCCGTCGTCTTTAATCTCACTCCACCTCGTATCCTTTGATTTTCACGTTGAAAATTGAAAGTGCAACATCCTTCTCCGTTGCCACTTCTCTTTCGCTCTGTCTTTTCCTCTGTAGGAACATGTTTTCTCTCCACTTCAATTTTGTACTTCAACTTCAATCTGTTCTTCTCTTCCCTGGAATCCTGAGATGGATGTTCACTGATCTTCTGTTTCTCTTCAGCACAAACGGAAGCAGAAGTCGTTACAACCTGTGACAGCGTCAATACGAATGAACACAACTATAGTTGTGTTTCTCATAACTAGTAAAGATAAGATATTAAAATGAAATAAAACCCTAAATAGAGGTAGGATCAATATCTAGAAAGTTCCAGAGTCTTGTGTCAGAGGTTTGTTGTCCAGAAGTGCACGTGACTGTCACCTGACATTATTTCACTTTAAGTTTCCCTCAGAATTTGATGAGGCTGCAGACCTGCACCTTGAAAGTTTAATAATTTCATGTCTGCATCAGAACTCGATCTCAGCCGAGTGAAAACTATTTTAACAAGGATTTCCCGACATCGGGCCGGATTGTTCCGACACTGACAAATACTGAAATCTTCTATTTTCTGATAGTTGACAAAAAAAAACTATTCAGCAGCAAAGCAACAATGTGAATCGTTTTGTAAAATGTATTTAGGTTTTATTGTGAAACTTATTGCATGCAAAGAAATGACTTTACAAAGTTTTGGGTCATTTTGAGCGAGACTTCATTTGTTCATTCTGTCCGGTTCAGTGCAGCAGCAGTCGTCCTCATCTGGAACAGAGATTAAATTGTCAGTCACAGTGAAAAATGAAATGGATTTTTGCGTCTCAGAAACTTTGTGGTTCAGCTCTGTCCCAGTATTTACTGCATCATTAATACTGGACTTTATTCTGCAGCGTTTACTCCTGTGGCTTCATGTTTCATCCTCAAAGTGTCTCAGTGTTCTCACCTCGTCTCAAACTGAGGGTTCACTTACTTTGTTTTCAAAGATAAGATGAGACGTAAAGATCAAACAGTAAAGTCATGTTTGAAAGAACACGGAAAGTTGTCGGTGTATTAAAAGCTGTGTTCTCTCAAAGAACCAGCAGAGGGCGACTCCAGTGGTTGCTAACAGAAGTCCAGTTTCTGAAACCTTCCGGAGGGACTGTTTGTGAGAAGTGTCCCAGTCGGTCCATTTGACTTTTTACTTAAGTTAAATGTCCTTCATTGTCCATGTGAGACTACGACAGGAAAACAGACAGCGGCTGCTCGTCATCGATCGGACCTGAACTAACCGACAGAAGACAGAAGTCAAATGAGACGTCTTTGTTCTCTCTCTTGTCCAGGATGATCCCGGCCAACCACAAGTACTTCCTGCTGAGCGACCTGGCGTCATCGCGAGACTACGAGCTGTGTGTTCTGGCCGTGTACGACGATGGAATCACGGCCCTGACGGGCACCAAGCTGGTGGGCTGCGTGTCCTTCTCCACGGAGACAGAGTACGGACGCTGTCACTCTATACGAGACCAGGTGAGACTGAACGTTTTGGATGTTAGAGAATCATTTCTCTAAATCACAGTGTCTGAAACTGAAAACCAAAAGCTTCGGACAGAAACTAACCGTGTTTTACGTCTTCGTCCCCAGTTCCTTGGTGGCACCATGATCATCATCATCGGGGGGATCATCGTGGCCTCTGTCCTCGTCTTCATCTTCATCCTCCTGATGAAGTACAAGCTGCACAGTAACCACTACAAGCAGAAGGCCGCCGCACGCCACGCCAACGTCTGCTCGCAGACCAACGGAGGAGGAGGTGGAGGAGGAGGCAACATCCTGGCTCTGCCTCCGTCCTCCTCCTCTGCAGGACAAGGTAACCGGTGGAAAAACATTCCTACGTCTCCTCTTTGTTGTCTGCTCCTGATAACCTGACGCCGTTGTCTCTCAGGTGGAGGTGCACATAAAGTCTCCCAACCGTCGTCATCATCAGAGGGGATGGGAGGGGCTTCTCTTCGAGGGACAACTGTAGTGGACTTAAATCCCGCCCACGAAGATGACGCCATCTCCCAATAACACACGAGAAACTGTCAAACCCACCGATCGTTAAGCCCAAACCAATATTTCACCTCCCGCCCCCTTTTTTTAATTTGTTGCTGGTGCCTCGAGCCAAACTCCACCTTACACTGAGGAGCGGCTCCTGTCATTGGTGAGTATGAGCTGTCAGTCAAAGAGAGGGGGCGGGAGGTGGGAGAGAGTATTTATACCATTGTCTCGTATATCATATTGTATTTATACGAGACAATGGTATAAATACTTCACTGCTCAGGACACGTGTGATGATGCAGTTTATAGATTATAGTAAAAATATTCGCTGCCATCTTGAGTCAGTGACGTCATTTGGAGTCTGTGCAGCAACGATTGGAGGGTGGAGCCACGGTAGTGATGTCCCGCCCCAACCAATCATTCGTCACTTTCAGCTGTCAATCAAGACGTGTCCTAAATGTGCGACTGCAGATGTGATAGTCTCCTCTTGTTGTCCTCGTCTCGCTTTCTCTCTCGTCCTCCAGCAAACACATTGTCTCTGTTACTTCCTGTTTGCTCTTCCTGCTAATACAAACAAGTTTAGTGCCCCCCCCCCCCCTGCAGTCATTTGTTTGATTTTAATGACTCGTTTTGTTTTGACACTTCCTCTCTCTCGTCTCCACTCGGCTCGTTTCACCAGTTCAAGGTCGTCTTCTTTGTCTCTCAGCTTTTCTCTTTATCATGTGAGATTTGTTCTCAGCGTGTTTCTCTAAAGTCCAAACGTCGTCCTCGTTGTGACGCGTCTGTCGGTTCTGGAGGATTCTCTCCTTCACATCCTGAGCTGTTTCCTGTTTGTGTGTAACACTCGTGCAGGGTGAGCAGTCATTCAGGCTCTGTCCGACCTTTTCATGACTCAGCGCCGGCCACAGCCAGTGGCTGGAGGCTTTGTGTTTTCAGGTTGTCGGTCTGTCCATCCGTCCATTCGTCCGTCTGTCCATATGGAGACCCCGTCTCCGTCACGATGAGGTTTACAACTGAGTCATGAAGGAAAATCATCACGTACAGAACCGTGACAAACATCTGGATGCCCCCCCCCCCATCTCATTCTTATCTCGTATATCATTTCATCATAGTCTCCATGTTCTCTTCTCTTCACCGTCTCTCTCCTCTTTTGACACCATCCCTTCGTTACTTTACTCTTCTATTTCTGTCATTCTCTTGTTCTCTCCATTACTCTATATTTCTCTTTCTCCCTCCCCTCCTTACCTTTGTTTGTCATCCCTCTTCCCTTTATGCTTTCTGTCTCCATCCATCATCCACATGCTGCTCTTCCACTCTTCCTCTCTTCCTCTGTGATGCTTCACCCTCGTTTTATCTCTTCATCACATCATTCCTCTTCCTCCCTGTAATAACACACCTCCCATCTAAAAACACTGATGTTGTCACGCTGTGTGCTCACACACTCCACACACATGCACAAGCTCGCATTTTTCTCATGGAAGCAATCTCAGTTGCTCCCGTTGGCCCATAGACCATTTACTGTGGGTTTAATATCTACACACACACACACACACACAGTAGAACGAACACACACACACACACACACACACACAAAAACAGCAGCAATCTCGCTGCACCTGCTTCCTCTCCGATCCAAATGAAGTGAGCGGGTGTGTGCTGGTCAGTGTGACTCACTGCTCCCTGAAAGGCTTCTCCCTCTAGACAAACACACAAACAGCCACAGCAACACAAAATGCATCGTTTGTGAATTTACACTGTGAAACTGCTTTTATATCACTTCACATTCATCCCTCACTTTCACGCCATTACAAACTATTGGATGATGATAATTTTATTCGTTTTTTCACTGAGATTCAAAGCGTGACGGCTCGATCGCCCCCTGGTGGCTGGCTGCGGTATCGGTTATAAGCCTCCTCCATGTTAGCAGATGGACCAAACAGAAGATCGTAGTTGAAGTGTCAGTTATTTGACGACATATAAAAACAGGCTGACGTCGTGATTGACAGCTAACACTGACTCAGGACTCACGTCTTCATTGCAACATGGCAGCGTTCGTATATTCTGGCTTCATGTCTGGATTACGAGAGGGCGTGTGGCAAACAGTGAAATTCTCGACAGTCCAGACCGGAGTCTCATTTATAAGAATAAAACTGGATAAATGTCGAAGCACGAACTCCTGACCTGAACCTGTTATTCCAGCAGAGTGGATCTGAAGATCAGTGGACGTCAGCACCAACATATGAGAGGCAGAGGCCGACACAGGCAGATAGCATCACTATGTTAAGCCACAAGGCACCAGGGCCTCATTCACTGAGCTTTTATTATCCGGGCCTGGCACTGAGCTGCAGGATGGCACGGTGACTAAACTGTTAGCGACTGACACAGAGCTCCCACTGAGGCGCTGCACGGCGGCACACTGACCCCTGGTGGTCACAGCCAGCTTCACGTGCTTATATTTTTATAAGCATATCATTCACATTCATGAATTCACACTCATGCATTCACTCAGCAAAACCCCTGGTGACCTCCAGGAGGATACAGGAAAAGAAAACTAAACCAAAAAAGACATTTGTCTGCAGCAGATTGTAATTTCCCAGGGTTCATAGGGGCTCAGAGAGCGCTCCTCCGAAGACAAAGCAAAATAATTCACTTTATTTATCAACATTTCAACAACAATCTTTTTCACATACAAATACTTTGTCGCCAAGTGACACATGAATGTGAGAAGGCCTGAAAAGGAACAGGACATTAAACGTCTCATGGACAGATCAGACCCAGAGCCTCCAGTTATCTGAGACATTATCCATTCAGGACAGCTGCTGTCCAAGGTCACAAGAGGAGTACGATTCAACCGGTTTTTTGATTGAGACAGAATAAAGATGAACCACACGTCTCCACCTCCTCCCTGACCTGATCCAGAAATGAATCCAAAATATCCCGGATTCTAGAACTTCAACAAATGATCAGCTCTGAAACCCTGAAACTACCTGAAATTACGGAAACCATCTTTGACAAACATTTAAACCTCTGTCTTAATCACGTCGAACTGTGAGACGCAGCGTTGAGGTCGTTATTATAACGTCTGTTGTCTTTAAACACAACCATTGGTTAAAGTCCCACGGCAGCTAACCGCCACTTTCACCTCCCCCGACACGAAACACGTTCAGTGGCAGAGAATAGTTAGAAACAGCAGCTTTAAATACCCAGTTACAGATTTTCTAGCGGAGAGAGAACCAGTGAAAGTGTTTTAAATAATCTACTGTTTAACTGATCCTGGTTTTCACTTACAAGCGTTTAAATAGCTTAATAATTAGAAAAGAAAATAGCTAAATAAATTCTCTTCAAGAGAAAACACTGAATTCTCTCTCAACATAATTTGCAGCGTCACTTTGCCGGTGGCTTCATAAACATTTTTGATCTTATGTGAAAAAGACCAGGATGTTCGTGGACAGGAAGTGGAGAGACAGACGGAGGGATTGTGGGTCTACAGTTGGCGAAATAGAAAAACATCAGAGAAAGACAAAGACAAGAGGGAGAGAGCGACAGAAGGGAGGATTATGGACTTATATTTAGTTAGTGAGAAAGAAAAACCAACACAGAGTCACAGCCGACCAAACCGAGAGCGGCAGATGAGTCACTGAGACAGTTATTGACAAGAAAAGAAGAAGGGATAAAGAGATGGAGAGAAAAGGACAGCTCAGGGATGACAGGGAGGTGGAGGAGGGACGGAGAGATGGAGGAGAGGAGGGGAGAAAACTGCAGCTCCAGATCTACAGCTGATTTGAAATGATCCATCTTTTTATCTTTAGTTTCTTCACTGTTTGTTTTTATCAATCTGTCGATTCGCTGCTTTTGTTTTTTAAATCAGGTTAAATTGATCAGAAGGAGGCGGGTCAGACAGACGCTGCCCCGCCCACACTGCAGGGCGCTGTTTATTCAAACTTTATTCATATTGAAAACATCACGGTCGAGAATCTGTCTCCACTTCCTCAGGTCCTGAACTACACACATGCAGAGCGTGATAACACAAACAGTGTTGTGTTCCACACACACACACACACACACACACACACACACACACACACACACACACACACACACACACACACACACACAGATTGTTTCAGATCACGTTTAAAAACACGTCATCGATCTGAGCTCTGACTCCTCCTCCTCCTTCTTCTTCTTCTTTGTTTTATCTGTTTATTTTTCAGATTTACTTACATTCAGCTTCACAATGATGGAGAAGAGGCGGGACAGGTGAGAGGTCTCACACACACTCACACACACACACACACACACACACTCACACACTCACACACACTCACACACACACACACACACACACTCACACACACACACACACACACTCTCACACACAGAGTGGGGGGGTTCTGTCTGTACATGTTGTGTAAACATGGTCCTCCTCAGTAAACAACATTATTCCTCTTTATTGGAACATTATATAACGACCTGATCTCCGCAGGATGCAGATTGGTGTTGCTCCCTTACATAAGCTCTCTCTCTCTCTTTCTCTCTCTCCATCATTATGTAAGCATCCTCCTTTCTTTCTTCTTCTCTGTCACTCCCTCATCACTTCATCGTTTTCCTTCTTCCTTTCTTTTGCCAAATTCACTTTTTACTCCCTCCTCTCCTCTGCTCTATCTCTTTATTATTTCCTCATCTTTCTTTCTTCTCTCTTTTGCTTTCTCCACTCATCCTTCACTCACTCCATCGTATCCTTTTTCTTGTCTTTCCTCTGCTCTCTTTTCTCCTCCATGTCTGTCCTTACTTTTTCCTTCACTCTGTCCTTTGTCTCATTTTATTGATCTCTCTCATCTTTCCTTAGCTCACCTTATACCTCTCTCTCTTATCTTTTTCCTCTGTCCTCTCCTCTTTTCCGCTTTATTCTTCATCACCTTATTTATTCTCCTCCTCAATTTCCCACCATTTTATTCTCTTTATTTCTATTCCACCCTTTTCTCCTCAATCTTTCTAAAACCACATTTCTCTTTTCTGTTCTCCCTTCATCTTCTTCTCCTCCACTGCCACCCTTCATTTTTCTCTCTGCACTTCCCCCTGTGTTGAATCATGGACCAAACATTGTTCAGTGAGTGTGTGTTTGATTAATTATAAACATTTGTTTCTATTGATTTAAGTCTATAAATGAAGTTATATCTCAACAACGATCAAAACTATTTCATTGAGGCTGAAGTTTATTTTTTAAAAACATTGTTATCGACTCACATTAGTTCAGTCACATTTAAAAACCAGCTCCTCCTCAACCCTTCACTGGATTTGGTGTCAATCTTCTCCTGAGAACTGGAAACTGCATTAACCACAAGTCAAGCGCCCCCTGCTGGCACAATTAGTGGAGCTACTTGACTCTTCATGCACCAAAACACAACGGTGTGTGTGTGCGTGTGTGCGTGTGTGTGTGTGTGTGTGTGTGTGTGCGTGTGTGTGTGTGTGTGTGTGTGCTTCACTTCAGTTTGTACTTTTTACTGATTTTAAAGTCAACACTCGTGCTCACATGTTAATGGCTCAGTTATAATGAGATAAGATATATTATGTTTTGAGTTTAGAACTTTTTCTTCACATGTAAATAATCTTCAGTTGCTCTGTGGTTAATTTTAATCAAAGCCTCAGAACCTCACTTCCTCTTCTGTCTGTTAAATAATCACCACGAGCCCATAAACAACATGAAACTCAGACCTGATGCATCTGTATTTACTTAATCTACAGAATTGAACCAGTGAAAGAGTCTGTACGTCTCTTGCTTCCTTCAGGTTCAGGTGGGTCACACGGTCACATCCGCCTCGTGATCCGGTTTTCACCCTCGAGACACGTCCTGCCCTCTGACACCAGAACCTCCGGCCACACCCAGACGGGATGCGACGTGAACATCCTGTAACAACCAGAGGAGGATTCACAGCCGACCTGTCGATGTGTCTCCTCTCCGCTGGGATGGGACTTCGTGGATACAGGTCAGACTCTTTGAACCCTGCTCGTGTTTGGTGCTTTGCTGGGTCTTGAAACCTCGGATCAGAGGAATCTGAGCGAACACGGTCTGGAATCGCTTCTTCTTTTCTGAAGGAGGAATCCGGCGATCTCACGGTGCACCGGAGGCCGACGGGTGGAATAAGTCAGGCACAAACTGCTGCACGGGGAATACACTGAACGGATCACCGTGGAGACTCTTCCTGGGTTTTCTCGGTTGTGGTTTGTGGATGGTTGGTGGCACCGCTCTTCTCTTTCCTACATCATACAGTCATATGCCAAAGGATTACTGCAGTATTATGACAGCATTATTGCAATATCGGGAGAATACACAGACTTTCAAAAGCACTATTATCTCTGCACAGTGAAAATACATGTTGGGCCTTGGATTGAAGATACAAGCACACTGTCAACGTCTTGTCTCAAAGCATCAACAACAACAAACTGTCGTGAACTAAACGTGAACTTCTCTGGCACTTTAATCGTGTGTTTTCATTTCATCTCTCTTCCCCTCCTCCCCACTTTCTCTCTCTTTCTCTCATTTTCATGAACAACTGAATTGTATACTCTCCACTATTACCAGTCTAACTCTTATGGCTGTGGATGACCTAGATAATGTTGAAATAATCAGTGTGTTTGCGTTCATGGTGGAATGGTTCTCTCTATGTCGGAGTGTTAAAAAAACGTTGCTGTCCCAAGAACGGAGCCTTGAGGAACACCGGCGAGGATTAAATCAAAGCCAAACTTAAAGCACACACGTCCGACTCTGCGTTTGGTGAAAATGGTGAATTCTGATGTTCTGACACCGGGAAAGCGACTGTACGTGTACGAAACACTGGTGAACTCGACCGTAAGTGTTCCTACTACTAAACGCTGGCACTCGAAATTGTTAAATGTATTAAGCGGTTGTAAAAGATGGCCAGCAGAACTTGCGCTGTCCCATCCCCTTGCTCCCCTCCGCTCCCCCTTTGCCGTTTGACAGTGTCTGTGTTTGTATGTGACATACACCTTACAGTCTTCGATGGTTTGATACCCATGATTTACTTTGAATATAACGAAACAAATGACCAGAACAAGGAGAAAACACAACACGTGAAATGGGGATTTTATGCTTTCATAGATACAATTATGTGGATTTATAATGAAATAAAAAGGTATTTTTCTTGGAAAAAATGTTCTTTCTTTCTTTCTCTTTTCTTCTTTTCTTTCTCTTTTTACAGCAACATGCATGTTATCTTAAACATGTATGACTCTTCTTCTAGGTTGTTCCAGTGCTCACTGGTGATGGATCCTGATCCTGATGCTGGACTATGATCACAAGACTTCTTGATACTCAACATGTCTCCTCACATCTTCTACCATCACTTTCTTATGTATAAATACTTGATGTTACTTCTAATGTAGTAAATCGTGCTGTTGTGGTGATGTGTTCAGGTACACGCAGCATCTATTGTACTGTGTCCTGGGACCCTCTCACGTGACTCTCTCATGAAAACGTACCAGCAGCATCTGTCCAAACGGTTTGAAGCCGCTGGTCCTGAATCAGTGGAAGAAAAGGTCCAGCTCTTTTCGTGCCTGAATATAAAGACTGATATTTATTTTCTACATTTCCATCAGCTCGTTTGTGTTGTGACATCTTGCCGACAGTTCATTTGTACGGCTGCATTCGAACAGACTAAGTGATTGTAACTGTCAGATTTAAACACAGGAGCGGATCTGTCTTTCATGGTTAAACAGAGATAAAGACGCCTGAATTGCTGCTTCCATTTCCCAGAAGAGAACTTTTAATGAAGACAGGCAGCGCTGCATTTCACCACCTCCCCCTCACATCTCCAAACCTTCAGCCTGTCACGAGTGAGAAAAGATTATCTTCCACTTTGCGAGTAGCGTCTTCGACGTCTTCTTGTTCCTCGGAAACAATATCGACCGTCACTTTGGATTGAAATTTTTTTAATTAGCACTTTCACCTGATTTTACTGTTTACATCCGAGGTTCTGTCAGAACCCCGACAGCTCTCGATCTCTGCAACACTTTCACCTCTGTGTGTCGGAGGGGAGGATGGAAGTTCAGCCTTTCAGCTTCTGTAAGTTTAACGGTTTAAATGTAACCTCAGTGACGTCGTCTTGACCTCTGGCCTCTACTACGGAACTAGTTAAAGCCAGTAACACCAGTAACAGTGTGGTGGTCCTGATGTGGGACTTTGAACTGAAAACCTATGTGACCTTAATATAATTATAACTGTGGTTGTGTGTCTCCTCTAACCAGCTCAGTAGGACTGGACTTCCTCCTGTATCACGTCATCACAACTTGATCTCATAAATAAACGGACTGACGTGATGACATTGTTTCGGGACGTGACGTCTACGACAAGTGAAAGGATCAGGTTGGATTTGTTGCTGTTTTCACCAGAGGACAAAGTCTTTTATTTCTTTTATTTATCAGCCCATTTGTTTCCAGCAGAAACTAAACGTGAAGACAACATGAACACGTGTTGATAATCAGCTGCTTTTCTACACACCCATGTGTTTCCTTATAAAGTCCAGAGCTCCGCCTCTTTCAGCTCCGTGTTTGGTCGCCACCTCCTGAGAGAAGCTTCAGATTCTCTGCTGCTTTGATTCGATGTTTTAAACGCATCAGTAACTTCCGCCTCATTATTTCTGTGACTCAGGTTTGAACTGGTGCTTGAACCTGACTCATCTGTCTGCTGTCAGCTGCTCCCATGAACCTGCAGGTTCTAAACACACAGGTTGAACTTGAGTTGACTCAGTGAAGCTGATCCTGAATCAGTGAAGAGCAGGAAGATGCTGCTGTCATCGATTGTGATCATGGCCACTAGATGGAGCCACTTGCACATCAATCTTCATGTTGATGACAGCAGCTTTAACTGTGATTTAAACTTTTCATTTGGTTTCTTACTTTATACTGAACTGTTGAAACATCCTGCAGGTTTGAAGGTTGTGGTTGAGAAGCAGAGGTTAAATCCACCTTCAGCTCATTTGGATAGATCATAACTTACATCATCTCAAGGCTCTTTACATATTTAGGTTGAGACCTTTAAATTATCAGGAAACTCAGTTCCCACCATCTGGATGCTGCTGCACCTTAAAGTGCCTGTCAGACAATGTACAGGGGAAATCAAAACCTGAGCTATCAAACTTTATACACTGTGTACAAGTATATATATATATAGAGAGAGAGAGAAAGGGCCACACAGGACTTTAACTTTCCACTTCCTGTGTTTCATCTCGACAAACTGCTCAAATTCAGAAAATACTCTCAACAGACTTGTCTTTATTTAATAAAATCTTTACTGTCAGGATGTGTTTGTAGAAACAGCCTCGTGTTACAGTTCGGCTGAGAGACGACTGCAGACTCAACACAAACAGCAGCACATCGTCTCCGTGATGATGCAGCAGAACTTCATTAAAACACATTCTTAGACGTTACACTTGTTTGTTGGTCGACGCTCATTAATCAGAAGTTTGACGCCTGTCGAGGGGAAGAGGTCGGACAGTTTCCTGCAGGAAGTGGTTCCATCTTATTCTAAATTAAAGTTATAAAATCCACCTGACATCACAGACCAGTGTTTAAAAAGTTGTTTCCACCTCGTTCCTCGGTGCGGGGCGTCAGTCCTGCTGCAGGGTGTTAACCACACCTGGTTCATAGCTTTTGATAGTGATAATATGTACAGATGGTGTTCCTCCTTCTATTCGCTGCATAATAGACGTTTACTGCTCATCAGCAGGAAAAGAATAAAATATATTTAAAAATCTCTGACCACTTTGACTGAAGAGTTCCCTGATCGCTCATCAACAAAAACTCATTTCTACCAAACGACGTCGTTAAGCTCAGGAACTCTGAATGAAAGATTGGTTTTCTGTTAGAATGTAATGTTTTATTTGTGTAGAAATAATGTCGGAGAGAGAGCGGTGTCTCAGCTGGAAGAAAAAACCCACTGCATCAAGCTGACATATAAAATATCCCATCGAAGACTTAATTCATCCATCACACGAGCAGAGGCTGGTGGATTTATCTCACTTCATCTCGGCGTCGTTTCACCTTTTTACTGTTTCCAGCGTTTAACTTTATAGAGTTGACGTCTTTTTGATATCAGTGCTCTGTGAAGATCTAAATACTGAAGTCACTTCTCATTGCACAATAAAACTGGACCCTGACACATGTTGGTCGTTGAGTCATCACCTGTTTGCTCATTGTAGCTTGTGGAGTGAATTAACGAATTCACCAGACAATCAGACACGTTCAGTCAAAAACCGTATTCACATAAAACACAGGAGCGCTCCCTAATTAAAGACAAACAATAATAATAATGTCTTGATGATGTGTCGTTTCACAGCCATTCATGTGATGTTAGTTGTGTTTGCGTCTCCACATTTCAGCACGAACCACTCGACCGCTCGGTGGTTTCAGCTGCTGCTCGTCACAACAGCAGACACAGAAGAACAATGTTCAGCACTTGTCTCCGTCTCTTCTCGTGTTGTCTCTTGAAAACGTCATAGTTTGTTCCTCTCCATTTTTCAGAAGTGAGTGGGGGGGTGATGATGCTGCGCCTGATGTCCGATGCTGCCTTTGTCCCTGAGCATCGTCAACGCAGTGTTGGAGAAATCCCTCAGGACGTCCACCGTCTCTCTCTGCAGCAGCAGAGACTCCTGCACAAACTCCTGCTGACTCTCCACCAGCAGCTGGACGGACTGAGCCAACATCTCCAGAGACTGAGACATGGAGGTCAGCAGCATCCTGCTGGCCCGCTGCTGCTGCAGGCTCTGAGAGGCCATCTGGCCCACGTTGTCCTGGGACCTGCGAGAGGACGCTCCAGCCGGCAGAGGGTCGGACGGGTTCGATGCTGAGGTGGGGAGGACAGACGAGGGGGGAGCAGCTGTTGAAGAAGCACCAGAGGCAGCTGAGGAAGCGGGAGGAGGTGGTGGGATGGAGGATGAGGAGGATGCAAGGTCAGAGGTAGAATCATTGGCGGAGGAAGTAGGAGGGGGCGCAGGGAGGGAGGAGGCAGTCACATTGGAGCTTGTAGGGGACTGGGACAAAGGAGGCGCAGCAGTGGACGCGGCGGCTTTGGCGTTTGAATCAGACACTGAAGGGAAACCCGAGGAGGTGGAGGCTGTGGAAGAAGAGGGTCCAGGCATCGGTCTGGAGTAGTTGTGGTTCTGGATGTGGTTCTGGCTGTTTCGGGAGTAGGTGTGGACGGGCTTGACCCTCAGCAGTGCGTTGTCAGGCAGGGGGTCCAGAGAGGCGGCGGGGGGCGGGGGGAGAGAGGCGGGAGCGGAGGAGAACAGGGAGTCGTCATTTTCATCAAAGTCCATGGTTCGTTCTGAGAGACGACAGAGACACGAAACATTTTAGTTTAACATGAAGAGCCACAGACCTTCCACCTAAATCATTTAATAAACATATCAAACTAATAATATTCAATTAAAAGCCCCGACTGAAAGGTGGGTCTGCGGTTTACCTGAGGCTTCATAGTGTGAGAGTTGATTTGATAAAGAACCAAGACATCGTCTATTAAGATCTTCAACGTATCAAAGAAATCTGAAATATTCTGCATCTGCTCTAGAGGCTGAGAATCGTTCCTTTTTGTAAACTCCTCAGTTTTAGGTTGTTTTCAAAGAGCTGAGGTTTTGAACTGAGACGTTCTTTGCTCTCACCTCCATCGTCTCCCAGCTCCAAGTCGAAGTCGGAGGAGGAATGAAAAGGATCTCCTGTGGGACATAAAAACATGACATCACTTCCTTTCTGCTGCGACGGACTCACAGATAAAAACATTCAGTCACTGTTACTGTGACGTTTCCTCTGCTTACCGCCCAGTTCTTTCTCCGGCGAGGAGAGAGGAGACAGGTCGTAGGAGGCTCCTCCAGGTAACGAGTGGGAGCTGTCCGTCAAACCGAGGTAGGAGTAATTGGCAGAGTTGGGCGTCAGACCTTTAGTGTAAAGCTTTGACAATTCATCATCCTCGTCAGGTTCCTGGTCACTGTCACCGTCTGAGGACGACATGTGATAGAAGGTCTGATTGAAGACAAGAAATGCTCCCCCCGTGTTTACATTGGTATTTTTACTTCCTGTGTCGTAATTTCCTGGAGAATCTTCATTGAACACATTGATCCTAAATATAGAAATATGAATTGAACATTTCTGAACTCTCCATAAGTGATTTGAACTCTGCTCCTCCCCCGACAGGCTCTGGTACAACCACACGTTATCTACTCAGTGAGTAAATCAACGTTATTACGTCATCACAAGAGTTCAACATGATGAGGTCGAAGGCAGAGGCCTCGACTTTCTGCTGAAAAAAAGAATTTCATCAATGAGTTGAACAATAATCCCTCTGCTTCCTCTCACCTCCACTAGGACTCATCATCAGTATCTTATGGACCATCTTCTCCACGGGGCCCAGGTTCTTCTTCCTCAGGTTGCTGCCATTGGGGCCCCTGAGGGTGGCGATACGTCTCTTCCCGTCACATTTGAGGTCCGCCCATTTCTTCATGATCTGACGCACCTGTGAGGAGACGCATCACTTTAACCAGCACGACCTCATGACCGTATGGATCGCAGCTGGAGAGGTAAGAGGTGCAACCTCGTGCTGCATGAAAAGCTGCTCGGAAAACTGTGTGTGGATTCAGTGGAGAACCACAAGGTGCAAAACTTACTACACTTTGTATTCATGATATTTATAATGTTACTGATTTAAACGCGTCAGACGATAAAAGACAATTAATCCCATCAGATACAGTTTTTCTACCAATAACTAAAGTAACATGTATAAATCATCATATAACTGTAGATTCACACAGAAACAAACCTCTCGGTGATTCTCTCCCAGGCCGTTGATCTGATTCGTGATTTCAGCCCACGTCTGTTTCTTGGTCTCAGCTGACACGCCCTGGTTAAACTTCCCTACAGACGAGAAGAAGAAGAAGAAGAAGAATCAGGTTTGTGATATTAAACATTCAGCGGTGGTGTCAAGCAGTGAGTTTAAATATACAAGAATGTGATGCTCGTCTGTTTGAGGTGTTAAGGTGCAGGTGCAGATTTTAAGAGGCAGCTGCTCTGACCAGAGTAAAGCTGCTTTCAGACATGAACTCAGCAGAAGCTCCGGAGAACGAACGTGAGATCACAAATGATTCGCAGCCGGGGGAGTGGGTGTTAATAACGTTTCTAACGTGTAAAGGACTGAACTCTGCAGCGGAACTAACGTTACGTCCTGATCTACGTGTTGTTGTGAACACGGAGAAAGTTCGGAATCTATTGTGCGGACATCCTCCCGAGGTCATGAACAGGTCACTTTGTTTCATTGTCAACGTCTGCAGTTGCTCGCTCTGTTGTGATTCAGTCGTAGTTTAACCTGAGTCAGGCCACACAGTAATGAGAGCAGCCATAACTTCCATACAGGGTCAGTAGCATACAGCTGTGGAAGTAGTGTCTTTTCTAAATGCACTGTTGTCAGATCGGAACTCGTATCCAACACTTAAAGTCCAGGTAACGAAATCAGTATCAGGAAAGAGAACATGTTGTCAGAACGTCTCAGGAAATAACTTGAAATAACTCGACGTCCACACGGTTCTTCCTACTCACTGAGGATGATGTATCTGTTCCTCTTCACTGCCTCCAGCAGCACTTTCACCTCGTTGAAGGAGAACCTCGGTTTGGCTCTCAACCCTCCTTTTGCTCCTCCCGCCTTAAACTCTTCATCGTCATCACGCCATGAGGCCGACATGGCTCCACCTCCCCCTCGTCCGCTCCTCTAAATCTTCTTCTGATGTTCCCCTCTGGTACGACTGGTACAGAGTCTGATGTCCCCGCCCTGAAGGAGCGCCTGGTCCCGATCTGGACTGACGACGCCTGTCTGCCTGCAAAGCCCAGGAAAACACAAGAAGAAGAAGTGACTGAATGAGAGGAAAGTGAAAGACTCACATCAGACGCACATAAAACACATCGTCATGGATCCTGAGCCTCGTGGAGCTCTGGTGATACGGTGACTCCAGAGAGGAGACAAAAATGTCAGAGACCAAAACACCGGGAACACGATGAGAGAAAAGAACAGCAGCACCACGTCACTGTGACATGAACCTGAGGAGGAGACATGTTGGAGCCATTCTTCTTCTTCTTCTTCTCTCAAACAACTTTAAGGTTGATAACAGAGCGATGATGTGCTGCTGTGACGTCAGATCTGCACATGGTTTATTTTGAGGCTGTAATGTTTCAAACTTGATCTACATCGTGATTCTGACCGAGCATCACTTATCTGATAACGTGTTTGATTTCAGTATGTATGTAATAAATGGCTGTAAGCTGACGAGCTGTTCAATGTGACTTTTCATTGAGTCTGTGCCTCAACGTGTTTTTGTTGATGAGGCACAAACCTGTTGTTGTGTTGTTTTCCACATATTCATATGTTTAATAAAAGAGTCATAGAGATAAAGTTTAAATGATTGATTGGACCTGACGATCACCGGGGACTCGATGTAAGAAGAATCTACGCAGACGTCGATAACAGAGACGCAATGTTTTCATCCCAGTCTGAAGCAGCTCAGTCTCAACGTCTCGTTCTGACGCTGCACAATGAAATCTGCAGAAAGAACTTCTTGTTCTCTTCACGGCCCCCTACTGGTAACATGTTAAACTGAACAGGGAAAACGCCTTGATGATGAAATAGAACGAAGAAGGAAAGTGATGTTCTCCATCTTTATCTGATCACCTCAGAATCTCCCATGATTCCACTTTTTACAGTGAAGACTTCATTGAAATGTCTTAATTTCCTTGTTTCCCATATTTCTTCTTTTTAATTTCTGTGATGATCTCTTGTTGTTAGATGGATGAATATTTCTACCACAGTAAAAATACAGTCGGGTCAAACTGCAGAAGATATTTATGAACTCATCAACAGATAAGAACAACTTTTACTGTGAAATCCTCCTTGTATATAGTAACATACCACTTTGTATTATATCATATACTGCAGTTTATATAAATATATATAAATCTTATATGGCTATACTTTAGTAAACTGCGACATTCTGTTTATTATTCTATTTTACTTTAGACTTTCACGTGTTCTCAATAAAGTTAATTTTACTGGAATTTATAAAATGACTCATGCACGCCGCTGCGTCTCTTCCGGTCACGTGTTCGGTGTGAGCCAATCAGCCGGTAGCTCTCCGGTGCCTTTGTGGTGCTCGTGCATGAGCAGCTGCACCGTCTCCGCCATCTCGGTTTGCAGCGCGCGCCTGAGCCGCCGTAACGTGAAACCGGAATAACGCGACGATCTAACGTCGGTAACGATGCGCGATGGAACCGTGGACGAGGCGGTGACGCTGCGTCCAGTGGATCCGCGTGATTCCCGGTGCTCGACGAGCGGAGGAGGAAACGTCCGCCTGCTCCGCCGCTGCGCTCGTTTTAACGCATTGTAGCTACATTAGCATCTGTACGCATTGTGGCTGCACGTGCTTTTTAACGCTAACCCGCTCACGCCCCGTGAATTAAAACGCGGTGTTCGGTGGAAGAAGGTGAACGTAGGAAATAGTTACCAGGAAAATGGCGCTGCTCGCTCCCTCCTTCCTCTGCGCGTCTCCCGAAACTTCGGACTGACGAGAACAGCCGAACTGCGCAGACTCCGCTGCGCCACTTTTTTTTTTTCCTGTCTTGAACGCGCAAACATTTTCCTGCGGCTGCGCGCCCCCAATGTTGCCCCTCTCCCAGCATGCACCGCGCAGTCCCGTTCCCCAATAAACCCGACACTCAATCAATTAATAATGAGATTAATTAATAGTCAGGATCAAAGGCTGATCAAAGAACCTCCTCAGGATGCTGACTGTCACCAAGGCAACCACCTCACACACCAGTGACGTCATTACTCACACATCTGCACATGTGATCATTTCATGACAACAAACATACATGTTCAGCTGCTGTGTGAGAAGAGGCCAAAGGTCATCCAAGGTCATCAGCTTCTTGTTCGTAAGAAAATGATTAACGACTCAATTAAACACAAACCACAGCATCTGGATGTAATTACATTTTAACATCTGGACTGACTGATGATCGTCCACATCTGCAGTACCATCAAATTCTATGTTAGTGTGATGCACAACTTTCTATAGCTCCAGTTATTTATCTTTATTTGGCTTCAATACTCGGTTACGTGCGTCTTTAAATCCCCTTATACTTCAAATATAGACTTTCTATCCAGCTGTCTATTTATCAGTCTATCCATCCATTTATTCATCTATCTATCTGAGTGTCATCAGAACATGATGGAACTCAAAGATCATCATGAAACACAGAGACGCAGATTTTTATATTTCTATATTTTTGCTGTGATTGGTGTGAAAACAAGTGATGGAGTGAGATTTAGAAAATAAATGCTCGTCATTTTTCCTCCATTTTCTGACAACGTGCAGCAGAAAAGAAGATGGAGAGGCCGGGAGGAGCAGGTTCCATGTTTGTCCGCTTGGTGTCACCAGAGATCTTCATCTGGGGACAAATACGTGATTCCTGCTTCTTGACAATACCCGGCTCGGCCTGCAGGGGGCGCCATCATGCACGTGTTTCAGCCACAATAGAAGATTCCAGAGAAGGGGGGGTGGTTGTACAGTGATGTTTACACTGGGAGACAAAGTGATGTCTCTTCTTTAGGAAATCTGTAAATATATTCTACATACTAATCCTTATTTTACACGAAACATGAGAAAGGCCAGTTATGGGTTTCAGACTCACGGCCCCGGGGCCACGGACCCGCTCGTGTTCGCTGCGGGGTTCAGACTGTGAAGTCACTTCTTTTAGCTGATTCGGCTGCTATTGGTGATGTCATCACTGCAGTGACCCAGTTTCCCCACAGGGATCGTCCTCATGGCGTCCTGTGACCACGGATGAGTCCAATCATTCACTGCTCGAGTACAAGTACACATAGTTGTGTTAAAAAACGACTCACGTAAAACTATTTAACCACAGATTCAACCTCTTTACTCCAGTAAAAGTATCAAAGTTCAGGCTCGGAAATGTTCTCAAAGTATAAAAGTAAAAAGTTTCGCTGCTCAGACTCAAGTTACATTGATTCAAACCACATGAAAGACAATCAGCTACAAACAGGTTGGAAGATTTGTGAGCACGAGAAACGTTCCAGGAGGATGAAACGTGTGTTGACTGAAGTTTTCTTCATGGAATTAAGTCCAGAGAAGAAGAAGAAGGACGTCGTCTGATTCTTCACTTCGTCTTGTTTCTCCTCATCGTGGACATTTGATCGGCTCCTCCTCTCACGGTTGAGTCTCCTTCTCTACTTCGTCTTTTACGTCTGTTGTGTTTGATCTGTTGTGTTTGATCTGCACCAACAGATACACAACAAGGATTCGTCTTCTCTGTGTTATTGTCCATTAAGGTTGGAATCTGTCTTGATGTTGGGGAGACGACGCTCGATGATGCAAAATAACAAAGATGGATCATTTCCCTCAAATGCTTTAAAGTAACGAGCCTGTTCTGAAAATGTGAGGAGGAGAAAGTCTGGATGTTTGTCTTAAAAGAGTAGTAGTAGAGTAAAAGAGAAAAGCCTCAAGTAAAGTACAGATACCTGAAAAATCTACGTAAATTCAAGTCTTGTAATTTGTAAAAAACCATAACTCCCGTCAGAATATTATCAGAATAAAGAGAAACACTCACTATGACCTCACTACTCAGTCCCTACATGAAGACAAGATTTTTCCATCATGACTTTGAAAGGGAACAGCGTGAGGACACTGTAACTGTGGGCAGGATGAATTTGTGAAAAGGGCATCGCCTCCTCTATCGCTTCATGAGGTTGTTGGCTTTCTGGTTGGCAGCGTCGATGCGGGACACGTTGAGGACGGCCTGCAGACAGAGGACAGGACAGTTACAGCTGCAGCTCGGTCGTCTCTATTTCACTGCTGATCAGTTCCTCCTCCGACAGCAGGTTACAGAGCGTTAGAGCCCCGAGTGAAAGAGTGAAACAGAGCGTTAGAGCCC